CTAAATAATAGCCGAAATTCAGGGATTAGAACTAGAGGATTGATTACCTCGCTGCAGGAAGCTCGTATATGAAATTTGGGCTCAATCCGGCTTCCGGATACTCCGAAACCCTAATTTGGCTTATCGGGAATTCAAGAAATTCCTGAACCAAAATCTCGTTTTAAAACTCTAAATCGATAAATCACGATAAATAGATGAATTAGGCATTACTTATGGGATTTTTGGATCACTAGGGCTCAAGATTTTGAGCCTGAGAAATTCTCTGTCGAGCGCTCTGCTCGCTCTGCTTCCGGTTTCCTCTCGGTGGAGAATGTAAAATGATGGTGGAGATAAATGTACGGGGGAAATTTAATATATATGCGCCCGGCCGCTATGTAAGTATATATATATATATATATATATAATTAATAAATTATATATATAATTAATACGTATACTTATCCGATCGATCGATAATCCGATTTTCGTCGAAATACTAACAAAACGCACAATTTTAAATCGCGAACTTTCTAGCGATCGAAAATACGATTTTAGCCGAAATGGGATGTTACAATAATTGTGTGTTACTTATAATCTTCTTTTTTTTCAAAAGATAATCATATATTGATTCAAAAAATAGGTAGTTACATCCTGGAGTTCAACCAGGCCTGGAAATCAAAGAAACGACTCGTAGTCGAGTATAATGAAAAGACCTTTCTAGCCACCACATGGGCTACCCTATTGCTACGCCGACCTACAAATCGAACACTAAACCCAAAGTGAATAACAAAGTAATACACGATTTCTTCAACAATAGCCTCCATCTGGTTGTCTCTAGTATCAGCCCGATTGATCTTCTCGGTGATTACTTTAGCATCGCCTTCAAACCTCATTTCTGTGAAGCCGTGGCCTAGACACCATAAAATAGCCTCCCGAAGCACGAGCAACTCGACCACCATAGGTCATCAAGCAACAAAAATTGAATCCCAGTATCCATTAGGATTTCCCTAGTCGGGTTCATAATAACCATCCCGCCAGCTGAATGACACCCACTCCTTATAGCCCCATCCCACATACAAACAACCATATTAGAACCCTCAGGACCTAAGTGTTGTATGAAAGGGATGGAAGACTGAAGTACTCAAACTTACCCACTCCTCATATTGTTGGTTGAATTGGCATATCAAGGCAGGGATCCCAAACTGTTTGCCCTCAAAGAAAACCTAGTTATGAGACCGCCATATCCTCTAGATGACAACAACAACCATCATGAAACAACAGGAAAGTGTGACGAGGCAGCCCTTGCCCAAGATACTCCAAACCCGAATAGTCCCTAAGGGCTCGCGCCACGAGGCAATAAAGAAACAAGTGTTCCACACTTTCTAAAACAACCCAACAAACAGGGCATCGGTGAAGCATAGGGACATCCTTCTCGATGAGGGCTTCAGTAGTTGGCAGTATGCGGTTAAAGATTTGCCAAACAAACACTTTCAATTTGAGCGAAATATTAGCCTCCCATAAACGAATCCAACTTGTCCTATCCATCCAACTAGCCATAGACCTCCAACAACCCCTCCGCTTCTCCAGTAAGAGAGCAAAATGGTAGGCCAATTTAACAGTGAAAACCCCGTCAGCCGTGACATGCCAGATCAGCCTATCCTCCATATTCTGATGCAGAAGAGGAATAGCTTTGATGGGACAACAGGTTGGCGGGTCAAACCACTGGCTAAGTTTGAGGTCACACCAACGCCCCTCCCCCTGACAGATAACCTCGGCTACGGGCGGGTCACCCCCGACTGGTAACACCTGGGAATTATACATTGGGGGAGAGGGATGTAACTGAGGAATCAGTTGGAATGAAGCAGAGAAGCATTCTGACCATTACCAATTTGCCATCTTAATCCCATCTCTAATAACTGCCGACCATAGAGGATACTCTACCAACCCCATGATGAACGAGAGCGAGCCGTGACATTGAGGAAGGTACCAGTCGGAAAATATTTACTTTATAAACCTGGGCTAAGAGTGACTGGGGTTCATTAAGGATACACCATTCAATTTTGGCTAAAAGAGTCTGATTAAATGTTCAAATCGACAAAATCCCATACCCCCGTCATGCTTACTCCAGCACAAATTGTGCTTGGATATCCACCGAATTCTTGACTGGCCCTCTTCAACACCCCACCAGAATCTGGCCACATGTTTGTCCAAGAGACGATACAGAAAAAGAGGTACACTTGAAACATGACATAACATGCAACGACAAAGCTAAAGCAACTGATTTAATCAAAGTGTCCTTAGCTGTCCAAGATAATGTCCTCTACTTCCAGCCCTGGAGTTGCTCTAGCAACTTATCCTCCAAATATCACAAAGTAGCCATTTTAGATTGGGCAATCAGCATAGGTAACCCCAGATATTTATCATGGACCCCCTACCTCCCCCACACCCAGAATTTGAGCCAAGAAATCTTGGTCCGGCAGAGAAATATTCGTACTAAAGCAAACTGTCAATTTAGTCAAGTTTACCCTCTGCCAATAAGCTCCTCATACTCATTCAAAACCTCGATCAAATTCTCACATTCCTGGACGGAGCCTCTGATGAATAAATAAGAATCATCGCCAAAAAACAAATGTGAGATCCGGGGAGCTCGAGGAGCCACTTTAACTCCTTCAAGTTTGCGTTATGAAATGGATTTTTTAAGGAGCGCCAAAAACCCCTCCGTGCAGAGCACAAACATGAGAGGAGCAATAGGATCCCCCTGCCAAAGTCCCCTGGAAGGTGCGAAGTAACCCGATGGGGTGCCATTCATGAGAACCGAAAATGATGTTGATTTGAGTCATTCATGTATCCATCCTCTCCCGATGGAGTTCAAACCCATCTTACTCAGAACTGCAAGAATAAATGGCCATTCGACTCAACCATAGGTCTTTTCCATGTCAACCTTTTGAGCCACGTACCCTTTCTTACCGCGCCTATTGATTTTTAAGTAGTGCGGTAAATCATGTCAAATGAGGATATTCCCCACTATTTGTCGTTCACGGATATAAGCCTTTTGACCTTCTGAGAAGATTTGTGGTAAGAGACAGGCAAGTCGTTCTACCATGATTTGGTTATAATTTTGTACACAAACTGGCATAAGCTGATTGGACGAAGCTATCTCATTGTTTCCACATTATCCACTTTAGGTATCAACGTCAATCAAGGAGTTGTCAACAATATCCCAGAAGGCCTTGAAAAATTTGCAGTGAACCCATCAGAAGTGGGTGTCTGCTTCGAACCCATGGAGAAAACTTTTTTCCTCACTTCACAAGGAAAGACTTCAACCGTAAGACTGACATTCATTTCTGGTGTAACACTAGGCTATGGGAAGAGCAGTCATCCTATCGACCATGTTCAATACCTAATTCTCTGAGGTGAAAAGAGTCTAATAAAAATTACTGGCAATGTCTGCCTTCCCATTCTCCTCAGTGAACCATTCCCTTCTGTCTTTACGAAGGCCGGACACGAAGTTCCATTTTCTCCTAGTCCTCTTAACCGTATGGAATAAGATGTATTTTTATCTCATTTCTTAAAACATCGGACTCTAGATTTTTGCTGCCAATAAACTTCCTCAGCCTCCCATTGGCAATTTAACTTCATTTCCAGGTTCCGGACCTCATCCCATGCAATAGGATGGATTAATTTTATCCGTTCAATTTCGGCTTGGAGAGTTTTAATATTGCAAAGGGAATTCGTAGTCCCCATCCTACTCCAGTGATAGAGCAAATGGTGAAGCTTCTTAAGACGTTCCCAAAGTTGAAACATAGAAGTACATATAATTTCCTCCTGCCACACGTAGTTCACCATCGCTCTGACCTCCGGTTTATCATCCCAACGAGCATCAAATCAGAAGAGGAACTGACTATTCCGGGTATAGGGCTTGTCGGAGAGGAGCACAAAGCTCTGTCCAGTCTCTCACGAATACAAGCCACACCCATCTGCCTGTTCGACCAGGTGAATTGATCATCCTGGTAACCAGGGTCATGGAGACCCAGGTCCTGAATAAAATCACGCATGCTAAGAGATTGAGCAGCATTCCACGAATTTCCTCCATCTTTTCACTCTCATGAAGAGTAGTGTTAAAATCTCCTATGACAACGTAGTGGAGTTGGATGACATCATAGATTTCCCATTGTTGAGCCAATTGGGCGGCTCTTATTGCGACATTACAACTAATGTGAATAGAAATTACAACATAAGAAAACTCCACTTCATTAATTTGGGCACAAATAGAGAAGTTGGAATGAAAAAACACCGAAACCTCAACTTCGGGGGACCAAGCTACCACTAGACCTCCTGATGTGTCAATCGCATCAACAAAAAACAACGAGAAAGATCAAAGCCAAAGCCCCGCATATGAAGGGAAACTACTCGCCAAATCGATCGTGTTTCAGAAAATAAACAAGAGATCCGGTTTATACAGCAGTTTAGAATGTGATGGATGGTCTAATTCCTCTTACATTCCATGCTAGTAGTTTCATTTATCGTCCTGGGGTCATTTTTGTATGGCTTCCTCCACCACATCCTACTCATTCTCTTCTTCCTCCTCCGCAAAGTGCTTCTTCGAATTGGGATTATCCTCCAGCTCCCCATCCATCTAGCGCAAAGTGCGGTTCTTTCCTCTAATTCCCGGGATAGTAGCATTGGATCCATATTCATTCAGCTGGAGGATCACCCCGAATTCATTTTGCTTGTTGATACCACCAGCATCCACAGAGTGTCCCATAACTCCAACTTCAGAGCCTAGAACCACCTGGCGAACATGTCCAGCCGACCAAGCCTTGGACGAAGCATGACTTTTAATTTCAAACTAGTTCTTCTCTCCATCTGATAACGATTCATCAGAATCATCAGCCTACTTTGCTTCAAGTTGAACCACCGCTCGAGCGTGCTCAAGAGAGGGTGTCCTTGAGGTCTGGTTCCCACTCCTGCGAGTCTGATGTTTCAGCTATCATTTTCCCCTTCAGGCTTCGGTCCGCCTGCTACCGAGGGTGTAAAACCAACTCATCTTTAGCTTTATACTTGGGATCCTCTGATTTCTTCTTGAGTCGGCAACCTCTGGTCGTGGAAACCCCAGCTGGTTTGGACGACTTCCCTCCCACCAGCTTGAGGGTTGGGGCCTGACTTCCCGATCCCACGTCCCGAGCCATGTGCTGATGTGCAGCACTTCTGTGCTCTGCGGACAGCCGGGAGTCTGTCACAATCCAATCCACGTCCGACTCCGCTATCACCAGCTTGCGACGACGGGCCGGTGACTCCTTCAAATGAACTGCTTGTTCACCACATCGTTCCCTCTCCGTAGGCCGCAAATGTTCTTGTCCCAAAGTAGCCACCATTAAATTTTATTCTACCACAATATCAATATGGATGAACTACAAATGTACGGATTTGTGTTTCCACTTTTCACAATCCGAATTGTTATAAACGCGCTGCTACGGATCAGAAAATCGCCGGCATCGATAAAGCGAGAATACGAAAGCGAGAATCGAAAACACAAACACATGATTTACGTGGTTCACTAACACGATGTGTGTTAGCTAGTCCACGGGCGAGAGAGAGAGCCAGTTTCACTATATCGAGGAGATTACAGATTACAGAGGAGTATGAGAAGTATTTATAGTACTTCTCCATGTGGGTATAAACCTAATCCAATCTGGCAAAGGAAACGGTCGTAGCGGCTGATAGTCCGATTCAAGTCACATTAACAAATCTCCACCTTGACTTGAATCCTCTTCCTATGAAATCTCTGATGTACTCTGCTCCTTCTCTCTCTCTCTCCCGCCATCAATGCCCCGCAAGGCGGAGTCACCCACTCAAGACATTCAGCAAGTCCAAGCAATGTTCGAACTTGCCATGTGGAACCGGCTTCGTGAACATATCAGCAGGATTATCCGCGGTGACAACCTTCTTCACCTTAATCCTCTTCTCTGTCCTCAAGAAATGATACCTCACATCGATGTGCTTAGTCCTCTCATGGTGGACTTGATCCTTGGCCAAGCATATTGCACTCAAACTGTCGCAATACACCACTGCCTGATCATGATGTAGACTCAGATCACCAACCAGTCCCTTCAACCATATTCCCTCCTTGGCAGCTTCTGTCAATGCCATATACTCTGCCTCAGTAGTAGACAATGTCACCGCCGACTGCAGAGTTGCCTTCTAGCTCACTACAGAACTCCCAAGAGTGAATACATAACCGGTCATCGATCTCCTCGTGTCAACATCTCCAGCATAGTCCGAGTCAGAATACCCAGACACCAAGCACTCTACATCACTTCCGAAGCTAATCCCCACATCAGGTGTACCCTTAAGGTACCGGAAGATCCTCTTCACAGCCTGCCAATGCTCCTTTCTAGGTTGTATCATAAACCTGCTGACAACACTAACAGCATGTGCAAGATCAGGTCTAGTGCATACCATAGCGTACATCAAGCTACCTACTGCACTAGCATATGGGACTCTTGACATGTACTCCTTCTCAGCCTCTGACTGCGGTGCATAAGCTGAGGATAGATGAACATTTGAAGCACTAGGAGTATTTAAGGGCTTTGCTGAAGACATGTCAAACCTCGAAAGTAACTTCAGGATGTAGCTTTTCTATGACAAGAAAAGCTTCTTCTTTGACATGTCCCTGTAAATCTCCATACCCAAGATCTTCTGAGAAGCTCCCAAATCCTTCATCTCAAACTCAGCACTGAGAAGCCCCTTTAACTTCTGGATATCAGACTTCGACCTCGCAGCTATGAGCATATCATCCACATACAGAACAAGCTAGATCATCGAACCATCCTCCACCTTGTTGTGATACACACAACAATCATATGGACTTCTGCTGTAGCCCAGCTCAAGCATGTAACTGTCAAATCTCTTGTACCACTGCCTCGGAGATTGCTTAAGTCCATACAAGGACTTCTTCAACTTACAAACATAGTCTTCTTTTCGCGGAACCTATAATCCTTCTGGCTGAGTCATGTAAATTTCTTCCTCCAACTCTCCATGTAGGAAAGCTGTCTTCACGTCTAGATGCTCGAGCTCCAAGTCATAATGTGCCACTATTGCTAGTAGCACTCTGATCGAAGTATGTCTGACCACTGGTGAGAAAATCTCATTGTAGTCAACTCCTTCCCTCTGTGAGAAGCCTCATGCAACCACCCGAGCTTTAAATTTCATGCCCTCTTTAGAAGTAATTCCTTCCTTCTTCTTGTAGATCCACTTGTTTGTCACAATCTTCCTTCCCTGTGGTCGTTTGACTAGCTCCCAAGTCGGATTCCTGTCATGGGATTCCATCTCATCTCCCATTGCGGCAAGCCACTGATCAGCTTCGCCACCCGAAACTGCTTCTCTATAGGACTGTGGTTCTCCTGCATCCACTTCTTCAGCAACCTGAAATGAATACGCCACCATGTCCTCGAAGCCATACCTCTGTGGAGGTACTCGTGCACTGGAATCTGAATTTTTTGGCTCTGCAGAGACATCCTCATCATGTTGATCTTCTCCACCTTTGTGCATAAACTCACTCTCATTGAGAGTTTGCAGCTCCACCTGCTTATCAACATTCCTGCTACCTTCAACATGGGGTTAAACATAGACTTCTCATCAAATATCACATTTCTACTGAGCATAACCCGATGCTCAGAAGGTGACCAGACTCGAAATCCCTTAACTCCATCTCCGTAACCCACAAATACACCCTTCTTTGCCCTTGGGTTCAGTTTACCCTCATCCACATGATGATAAACAAGACACCCAAAAACTTTCAGTGAAGAGTAATCAACAGGCTTACCATACCACACCTCATAAGGAGTCTTCAACTCGATACCAGTGTGAGGTCCACGGTTGATCAGGAAGCACGCCATGTTCACTGCTTCTGCCCAGAATCTTCTCTCTAGTCCAGCATTAAAGAGCATGCATCGTGCTCTCTCCAACAATGTCTGGTTCATCCTTTCTACAACGCCATTCTGCTGGGGTGTATCTCTAACAGTCCGATGACGGGCAATCCCTTCATCCTTGCAGAATTCGTGGAACTCAGAATTGTAGAACTCCAGACCATTGTCCGTTCGCAGCTTCTTGATCTTCTTCCCGGTCTGATTCTCTACCAATGTCTTCCACTGCTTGAACTTCGTGAAAGCCTCACTTTTTTGCTTCATCATGAAAATCCAAGTAAATCTCGAATAATCATCAATAATAGACAGAAAATACCTGCTACCTCCAATGGATTCAACTCGTGAAGGACCCCAATAGTCGGAGTGGAGGTAATCCAGTATCCCCTTTGTCCGGTGGATACCCTTCTTGGGAAACTTGCTGCGATGTAGCTTCCCAAACACACAATGCTCGCAGAATTCCAAATTCTGCACCTTGTGCCCGCAAAGAAGATCCCTCTTCGATAGAACTTGCATCCCCCGTTCACTCATATGCCCTAGTCTCATGTGCCAGAGAGTGGTCATATCTTCCTGTTGAACCTGAGACAATGCAACTGCAGCAAAACCAGACAACACAAACCCTTGTAATGCATACAAGGTCCCACGCTTCACGCCCTTCAGCACCTTCCTTGAACCTTTGCAGACATACACAACTCCACATTTTCCTTTGAAGCTGAAACCCTTGCTGTCGAGTAGACTCAAGGAGATCAGGTTCTTTGTCATTCGTGGAACATGCCTGACATCATTCACGGTACAGAACGAACCATCATGTGTTCGAACCTTTATGGACCCGGTTCCAACAACCTTGCAGACAGCTCTATTAGCCATGACCATGTTACCACCATCTATCTGCTTGTAGGTTGTGAAGCAATCCCTGTTCGGAGACATATGGTATGATGCTGCAGTATCCAGAAACCACACATCACCACGATGTGCCTTCTAATCTACAGCTAAGGCGAGATCGTCTTCAGAACTGTTGTCCACTTCTGCCATGACAACTGAACCTTGTTTCTTCTGTTGCCCTCTTCTCTTGGGACAATTGTACTTCCAATGCCCCACTTCCTTACAATTGTGACAAGCATCACCTGGCTGTGGACCGGGACCCTTGGAATTCTTGTTCGAATTCCCTTTACCAGATTTCTTATTTCCCTTTCCACCTGTAACAACCAAACCCGATGCCTCTCCACCTGTACCAGATCCAGACGCCTTATGCCTGATCTCTCTTGTATGAAGAGCAGACCTGACATCCTCCAACGACATGCTTTCTTTACCAGCAATAAAAGAATCAACGAAATTCTCATATGAACTCGGCAAAGAAACCAGTAGGATTAGGGCAGCATCCTCGTCATCAACTTGAACATCTATATTACGCAGATCCAGCAAAATAGAGTTAAGTTGTTCGAGATGTTCCCTCAAAGGCGTACCTTCTTGCATCCTCAAGCTGAACAACCGTTGCTTGAGATGCAGCTTGTTGGTTAGAGACTTCGTCATATACAGACTCTCCAGTTTCAACCACAAGCCCGCGACAGTCTTCTCAGCAGCGACTTCAATGATGACGTCATCAGACAACGATAGCATGATGGTCGAGTGGGCCTTCTCCTCCAGGGTATTCCACTCATCGTCATTGACCGCTGCCTTCTTCTGTTTCGCAGACAGCGACCCCCACAACCCTTGCTGTTTTAATAAAGCCTGCATCTTGATCTGCCATATAGCGAAGCTGTTCTTCCCCGTGAACTTTTCGATCTTCATGTTCACCGACGTCATTCTTCTGAATCGAAAACCCTAGCCTGATTTCCAGCCGCAACTCTGATACCACTTGTTATAAACGCGCTGCTACGGATCGGGAAATCGCCGGAATCGATAAAGCGAGAATACGAAAGTGAGAATCGAAAACACAGACACACGATTGACGTGGTTCACTAACACGATGTGTGTTAGCTAGTCCACGGGCGAGAGAGAGCCAGTTTCACTATATCGAGGAGATTATAGATTACAGAGGAGTATGAAAAGTATTTATAGTACTTCTCCATGTGGGTCTAAACCTAATTCAATTTGGCAAAGGAAACGGTTACAGACCAGGCCCAGAACTCGAACCCAAATAACATTGAGACCCCCAATTACCAGTCGTAGCGGCTGATAGTCCGATTCAAGTCACATCAACAAATAATTGCCCTAATAAGCTTTGCAAATCGGTGATTAGTCAACACGTCAACGGGCCGCCTGTTCCCTCCGGGCTTCCTCGCCACCACCATCTAACGTAACCGGATCCTAAGAACGCCGCCCAGGTTCCACCCTTTATCAACGGATAAAAAAGGGAAAAAACCGACCCTAACTTGAATTCCCATTCTGCCCTCGCCAGCCCTTAACCCCACGCCTCTCTCTCTCTCTCATATATTACCTTCCTCTCTGTCTTGCTTGTTGTCTCTCTGTCAATTAGTTCGCCGACTTCTCTTTCTTCTTCTTTCTTCATCCATTTGTGGCTTCAGTTCTCTTCACGGGTACCCAAAAAGAACCGCAATCCGAATCCCCCACTCTTTCTCCGCCTGGTCAATCAGCGCCGGCCGCCGGGATCGCCACCGGAGCCGATCTCGACTTTCGTGAGTTCGTTTTAGATTCTGGTCAGCTCTAGTTCCGATTATCGGGAAACCGGAAACGCAGCCCCTCCTTATGGAACGGATCGTCGGAGGGAAGTACAAGCTAGGTCGGAAGATCGGCAGCGGATCTTTTGGTGAAATATTTCTCGGTTAGTCCTTCCTCCTCTCTGTCGTCCAATTGAGCGTAATCCGTACTGCGCCTGCTTCTGTTAGTTGTGTGGTTTGGTTCGTTTCCTAGCTGATTTTCCCCGTGTTTTTGCTTTGCAGCTACTCACATCGACACGTTTGAGATCGTAGCTGTGAAGATTGTAAGTTCTTCCCCTTCCTTGGCGATCGTGTTGCTTAACCATCTCTTGCGTGTGGGGTAGTGCATGTAGTTAGATGAATGTGGATGAGGAAACGGGTTGGGTTTGAATGGCGGCTGTTGTTGTAATTGGACCAGTTCCAATTCTGCTGCTGAAACTGTAGAGCTCTAATTGTTCACTTTTTTTTTTTCTGTTGTTCTCAGGAGAATAGTAAAACGAAGCATCCGCAGTTGCTCTACGAGGCCAAGCTGTATAATATTCTTCAAGGAGGAAGTATGAGAAACACTCTTTCTGCACAATATGATATATGGAAGCGGCTTTAATTTTTCCAACTTTGGGGCTTGCAACTTCGATGTGACATTGGAATTGCGTGTTGTTGCAGGCGGCATTCCCAGCATAAAGTGGTCTGGCTTGGATGGGGAGGACAATGTGCTAGTGCTTGATTTGCTCGGGCCAAGCCTTGAGGACCTCTTTGTCTACTGCGGGAGGAAGTTCTCGCTAAAGACTGTGTTAATGTTGGCTGAGCAAATGGTAAACTTGGTTCCATCATGTTCGTTGTTGGTTCTCGATTTTATCTTTTTTTTTTTTTTTTGTATGGAGTTCTCTTGTTCCCTTCTTCCTTCTCCTTTCTGTTCACGTACAAATCGTGGTGAATGATGTGTATGCATCATCAACCCGCCTATTCGTCATTCTATGTTTTGTTGATTTTGCCCTGTTTGCGGGCAGTTTCTGTAGACTCTTGGGTTATTGTATGTATGTGGTGCAGTTTGAGTCACAAATGTACTTAGTTTTTATATCCGTCCTGGTATTTGCAGATTACAAGGATTGAATATGTACATTCGAAAGGTTTTCTGCACAGAGACATTAAACCTGATAACTTCCTCATGGGTCTTGGTCGTAAAGCAAACCAGGTGATGAACTTCGAAAATCATATGCTATTGAAATTTTTTTGAAAATTTTTCTCTAGTGGCAAAGTCATAACTGTTTATGCTCATATACTATCCACCAGGTCTATATAATTGATTTTGGGCTTGCAAAAAGATATAGAGACGCGGTATCAAATCGCCATATTCCTTACAGGTGATTCTTTCTTGATTTGTTTCATCTCCTTCTTGCCAAGTTAATTTGTTGAAATCTTATTTGTACCCCTGGCATGATTTTGACGTTTTAAATTGACTTAACACTTTTGACTGATACTACTAAATTGGATATTGGTGACTTGGTTCCCTCACTCATATTTTGTTATCAACCATGTTACTGTGCAGAGAGAACAAGAACTTGACAGGAACTGCTCGCTATGCAAGTTGCAATACTCATCTTGGCATTGGTACGGCTGATGGGTGAAGTATTTTTACAGTGTAATATGGATCGGAATAATGTTTTTATATATGATGTTATGTACTTATGAGGTCTCCTACCTCCAATAGCTTGAGCTTACATGTCTGCTCCTGCATTTGCTGGTGTACAGAGCAAAGCCGGCGTGATGATTTGGAGTCACTTGGCTATGTGTTGCTATATTTTTTGAGAGGAAGGTATGGTTTCTGGACGACTTGGTGCTTTTATTTCACAATAAGAAAAGTTTTCCCGACTCATAGAACAGTTGTGTTTAACATTGTTGAACTCAATTGACGCGTGCATGCTTAACTTTATTTGTTTGTTGCCAGCCTTCCATGGCAGGGTTTGAAAGCTGCTACGAAGAAGCAGAAGTACGACAAGATATGTGAAAAGAAACTATCTACTCCGATAGAGGTGTGTGGTTAACTTGTGGTACTTATTCAAAGTTTAGGTGTTGAAATAGACTGTAAACTCAATATATACTTATTTCCAGGTTCTATGCAAATCTCACCCGGTGGAGTTTGCTTCATACATGCATTACTGCCATTCGCTGACATTTGATCAACGGCCTGATTATGGATTCTTGAAGCGCCTGTTTCGTGATCTATTCGTACGTGAAGGTATGTTTTTAACAACTCTAGTTATTGATTTTACTGTAGATTTTTAGTTTACATTGTATATATGGTAAGTTCTAATGAGTTTATGTGCAATGCAGCCGTCTTGGCTTAAGGTTGTGTAATCTATTGTCTGTTGATGCAGGATATGAGTTTGATTATGTATTCGATTGGACCATTATAAAGTACCAGCAGGCACAGAAGAACCGATCTCAGCCTCGATTACCGGTTAGTAGCTGTCAGTCAGTTTCATAAGTTGTGAATGAGGTTTCATTAAATAACTGTTCAGGCGAAGAGGCTGCTATCATTTGTTGTTCCTCTTGTTTTCCTTTTACCTTAACTAATGCTTGTCTTTGATACTGAAACATGCACTTGGTGATGCTACAGCAAGTAACTGGAACAAGTGGCAGCCATGCAGTTCAAAGAGAAAATGCAAATCAACAAGGTTAGAGATGTGGATCTGTGTAAAATGAAATCACATGCACTCCATGTTAGTCATTACGCTGTGTGAAATGCAAATATCTTCTGTACGTTGTCATCAATATGTTTGTTGCCCGCCACGAGATCTACCGATTATTAGATAAAAACATTTTCAAAGCAGAGACATACTGATTCTTTTTCAGGAGAGTATTTATGGTCGTCAGTTTTTCTGCAATTGAGATATTGTTGTGGTTTCATTCTCATTAGCAGTAACATTCGAGTGCAGGAAGTAGTAATGCCGCGTATGCTTCCGAGGTTGTACAATCTATGGGTCCTGGCATTCATATGCAATTGAAATCCTCAACTGGCAAGAATGTGGTTTCTGATAATCATGATGACAGGAATGTAAGTTCTCGCATCATGGACAGCATTTATAGTGTTATGCTATAATTTTTTACTTTTATTTTCGAAAGGTTATGTTGTCTTCTTTTATTTACTCATTTGCAATTGCGGTGAATTACTAAAGTTACTTATTTACAATGTATCTTGTTAACTAAGCATGAGATGCAAGGTTAGCGCTCGCAACTTATTGAAGTGGGGACTACAAGTAGGTATACAATGTTAATTAAGAAACACATTGTGTGAAACTGACATTGCATGAGATAATTTTTTTAGATAAGGGACATTGCATGAGATATTGTGAAGACCTTTTCATTGGTCTTTTGTCACATATTTAAGTGAGACTTTGTTTGATGCATGGGAGGTTCAGCATCTGTGTAATTTGGCATCCGGTAGCTTCCCTTTGTCAGTTGATCAGCCAATATTGCTTCTTGTAGGTTGTGAGTGATGCACATATGCCTTCTAGTTCATTTTCATATGCTGCGACATCAAGAAGAAATGCTGCAAAACCAGGCGCCTTGCCAACTGAAGCAACAAGTGGCCATGGACATTCTAGCAAGGTCGCTCCGTCTGGCAGCTGGATCTCATCATTGCAGCGCATTCATTCTGCCAAATGATCTGGATGGTAGCTTCTGTTGACCCTATGGCATACTCTCTAGTAGTTGATTTTTTGTTTTGTTGATAAATCACCTACTAGTTAGAATAGTGTTGTTTATTTGCCAATTGATTCTTAGAAGATAGTCATTAATGAGATGTTTATATTTGTTCTGTGGTTAGCCGAGGATGTTGTGAAAGGAGGTTATAATGATACATCAGTTGGAGGCTGAAAAGAAGTTGGCGATCTGGTATCATGCTTTCAGCTATGTATGTACTCGAGATGCAGATGCTTGCAATCCAATTTGCTTTGTTCTTGTTGAAAGTGGATCTCAGTATTTGTTCTTTAAGGTTTGTTATAAATCACCAACTACCCCAGGCTTGGTTGTGCTGTACATAGTTGCTTTAAATTACTCATACAAACATTGTATTTCTGATTTCATGTAAGTGGAATGAAATGTGAGGCTTTTAGCACAAGACAGTTGCCTTTTAAATAGTTGTTCTTGACAGCATTCCTGATCTCTCAGTTCAATAGTTCCGAGTTCATTGGTTCTTCATGGATGCTCATCCTTGATACACATTGTTTTGTTTATATCTGAGTTTATGTGTGCCATAGTTAGTTTGAAAAGGTGCACCATTGTTCATAAACAAGGTGGGAGATGATGGACCTTTTTGTAGCATATTTTCCCTCAGTTGTAGGCCAGTTTGACCTTTGATCAGGTAATATACAGTCTTTTTCTTATAATTGCACATTTGCAAACTTGCACGATGGTTTCATAAGTGATGGGTGAACATATCTTCATTGTTGGGCATGTCTTTAGTGTTTGAAGTGTCTTGATAAAAGAGTTATATATGGGTTTCTGGGACACTATTTAGTTTATTTTTCAGCATTGCTCATGCTGACCATTTATCCAGTGGCATATCCAAACTAATTTGTTATTGTTTTTCTGGGCAACTAAAGTCAGATTTTTGGCAATTCTTCTATGTTGTTTTATTCTTCTGGTGGCATTTATAATGAACTTTTTTTAACCCGCTGTCACACATTGAGGAAATTTTTTGTTCATTGCTTTATGTAGAATAATTATGAAATAATTTAGCTTGATATAAACATTTGTGGGTTCTAGATCAAATACTGTTTCCAAAGTTGCTGGAGCTCTTAAAGGCATTTGATACAGTTCTTTGTAAAGTGCATTCTGGGTTCAAGGGCCAGTATCATGCATAAGTATCCTCGAATATCAATTGACATAATCCGATTTGCAGGGTTTTATGTAGCCTGAAATATTCCACAGAAGTTATCAACTGGGAACCGTTCTCGGGATGGAGTCTTAGGACTATGGAGGATCCGACGCATGATACTCGTGAGCTGATTTAGTGACTGCAAACTGCCATGTAATGAAATGAGGTTGTAATTCGAAGTCATGGATGCTGGTGTCGCTGCAGGTTCAGATATCTGCCGTGACTCCTGCTTGGTTCCCCAGTTGCAGGTTTGATCCAAGTAAGAAACTGAAACTGGCCGCTCCCTTTTGTTGGTAGTACTAAGCATGGGTACAGCCGATCACAAGATGGTGTACTACTTCTGAAGTTTTGTGTTGAGATGAGAAGGCTGAGCAGTTTTAGCTTACTCTCACCGAGCTGTTGGTAATGGATAACAGATAACTGAGATATGGTGTAGCCAGCATATGTAGGAATCATTAGGTAATGGTCGGAAGACATTTTTGGTACAAGGGCAGCCTATATCTTGCTTTTGCCAAAATTGTTGATATTGAGTACCTTGTTCGAAAAGAGTCCGGAGGTGAAGGAAGCGTGTAGATATCTCAGGAATGTAGGACCTCTCTGGGGACTGCTAAAATTCTGTTTAGTATTTGGCTCAATCTCTGAGAACTGGGGCATGATGTCCAAATTTACTTCTCATATTTGAGGCGGTCGCTATGGTGATGGCAATTCCAAAGCGGCAGGTGAACTTTCTTCTCCAATCTGCGAGATCTAGTTTCAGGTCGTGGTAATAGCTGACGAGAAATCAGTTGGACAAGAGCAAAGAAAGAAAGCTTTTGGATGTATATAAACGGTTGCAGCAGGGTGTGGAAATTCCGAAATTGTGTCGGGAAGCAAAGATGGTTGAGGGTACAGTGTGGTAAACCAGAATGACAAGGATGAGATGCGAGGCTGGTGGTATAGAGCAATCACATGATGGTACAGATGGTACCCTGTTACTGAATTCTTCGTGTGCTGGGAGGTCGGTTCATCTGGGATTGCGTGTTATTCAGTTTCATTGTGCCGAAGCGGTGCTGAGACTGCGTCCAGGTTTGTTCCGTAGGTATAACCGTTTATTCTCCCTCCATGGAACTATGCTCCACGGCTTGCAGCTCTCATATTTGCCCTCCATAAGCAATTGTTTCTCTACTTGAAAAGTATGACAGTGAAAATGGATTGCCCTAACTTTAACAGTGGATTTGGTTCTCCTAAGTTGACGCTTTCCTTGCGTGTATTGTTAGGGTTCGTGGAAATGGATTGAATCTCAAATCTTATACTCAGAAGATAAGCTGATCAACCATCATGTTACACCCCTGTGGTGCTTAGTTGAGGTTCTTTTCTCGTACACCAACAAACACCCGGCGAACGGAAATGATCAATTTCTTCATCGCGAGTTGAGTTCTTGCCTCGTACACCAACAAACCAGGACGAAAAGAAAAGTTCAATTTATTCATCGCGCTCTTTGTTATTGTTTATCTCGAGCTTGGGTACTTGGAATGGAAGAGCAGCAGGCTATCTGTAGACAGTTTTGAAGAAATCCATGGTTCAATACAAACGTCCATTGACCACAACTAAGGCTACTTTTTGGCTTTGAAATGCTCCACTTGAGATTTGCTATTATGAACTGTGAAGTAACAATCACAATAGACAACGAAGAACCTGGACACTGAAGGTTCGTTTTGTATGAAAGAACTAGTGTGGGCCCCGGCCAGTTGGCCGGAGGAAGGTGAGGTATGAAATTTGATAATGTAATGGCGTGCATAGTTTATTGTTGTATAGTTTTTTTTGAAAACACATGATAAAAATAGTGCATTTTTGAACCAAATAAAAAATCGTCTTTATGAACCAAAATCAAGTACCTGTTACCTTGTGAAACAATATTGTTTCTGGTAGTATGATGAGGTGGAGTAAGTTTTATAGAAACCGAATTTCAGAAAATCGAATAAAAAATCGCCTATCCCGTCGGTTATCGGGAAATGAGCATCTCACAATCGTTGCTAGCTTTAACTCAGCCCGTTGGCCGATTAATTTGCTTTATAAAAATTTCATATTGTCGTAATTGTGCTTTCTGGTTTTTGTTAGGCCATGATAAAATCTAAGGAAATCAAGAACGAACAACACAATTTGGGATAGAAACCGCCGTTGTCGTATCCCTAGAAAATGGTGGTAAACACGGACTCACCTGCCAAACTGGTTTGGATTGAGATTTTTATCGGGTATCAGGGAACCATGTGATTATAAATTAGACTTGATCAAAACGGGCCAAAACTTGAAATTCAGCCTGTTTATCCGACCCATGCCAAATTCTAATTATTCTTTACTTTTAAACTTACTATTTGAAAATAAAACATAGTGAAAGAAAAGAGATGACTGCAATTCGTCATTTGCACATCACTTATTCGGGAATAAAACCATAGAAATTCAAAAGAAACTGAAAATATTTAGGATCGTTTTAATGTTTAAAATAACCAAATAGATATTTCTGTTTAGTTTTTTACTAACAAATATCAAACTATTCCCTATAAAATACACTATAATTTGATCATTATGATATCAAATAATTATATTATATATATTTGAAATGATAAAAATTGGACTAATTGGGTTGGTCGAGGTTGAACCATTGAATAACTTTAAAATACATTATATTTTAGCCACTAAGATATAAAATAATAGCATAATATATATTATGCCAGAGAAAATAGCTTGTTTTAGAATGTCAAACCAATGATTTTAATTTGTTTTACTTAATGGCCAAATCCCGTGTAAGTCAGGCCCATTCAACTCTTTTATTTTACGGTTAGCGATTAGCCCATCGGTTAGCCCATTAGATACCATGCATTAGTTTATTGTTAAATTTTTTATTTTTTAGCAATAAAATGAAGTATTATTTTTGCCTTTTCATGTATATTTTATCACCACGGAGAAATAAAAGGGCTTAAAGAAAAAAATTGACACTCCTGGCCCCGTTCAAATCCGCATGTGTACGGTAAGTTGGTCCGTTCCACAGAGGAAAGAGAAAAAAAATTGACACTCCCTATTCTACCCTTCCTACAAACGCTCCTGGAGTAGAGAATTTGAAAATGGGGAAGGGTTTTTTCCTCCCAGCTATTATATGTTTTTAAATTAAAAAGATACAACAAATGTACTTAGTGTGATTGGTTATGATCCTTGCTTTTCTTGAAAATGGTCATGGTTTGAATCCCGGTACGTGTCTTTTTAATGAATAAAAAAAAGTAATTGTGAAGACCAAAATGTCCTTCCTTTTTTCACTCTCGTTGCAGGAAATTTAAAATGGGGCTCCCGTTTTTCCCTTCGGTGTATTATATTATGTATAAATTATACTTTTGACTTTACTCAAAGTAACTATGACGATCTATCCTTTGATTGTTTCTATTTCCATAAATCAAAGCTTTGCTTCTCTACACAATTAATGGTAACCTTTGCAAGGACAGCAAGAACGGGCGAGCTAAACTCAGCATTCAAAGTGGGCCATATTTCCATTTCCAGTCCAAAAGTTCAAAGCTACAGGAAACGGTATATTGATGGTGAGTACAAAAGAGAATTTGTCCTTGTTGCAAATGAAACAGTTCCAAACTTCCAATTGATTGCTTGGGATCTGAAATCATTAGAAGAATTAAGTGTTATCAACAAACCTAGATTACTTAAGGCAATACAAGAAATAGCATGTGGAGCATTAGTGCTTTGAGTATTGGATCCAATCAATCATTGATGAATATAAAATATGTGATATAGGAGATGAGTGGATATCACTAAAGAAATTGATACTATAACACCCTGAAACCTGGTTAGTAGTAAACAAACTTAGGCAACGCAACATGCGACACAGCAAGAAACTCAAAACTGATAATGAGTCAGTAGAGAGGGACAGAACTACGATTGAGGGAGACACATATGACTCACCATCGTTTTGCATCCACAATAAGGAGTTCCTGAAGAAGCAGGTTGCCAATTCTGCCTGATGTACATACACAGTGAAAGTCGGTAACAAATGGTTTGGAGAAAGGGCACACTAAGAGACATAATATTGTTGTTCTTCATTGCATAACAGTATTAATACATCTCTATAAACCCAAAGAGATCAATCTAAAGATGGAAAACACACAAAAGACACAAAATCTTCGAAACATAAAAGGAAATGAAGTATACCAAAGGTGAAGACCCCAAAGCCTGAACTTGCAACCTGTGCAAGAGTGCTGGAAACTACACAGTGAGGTATACCAGAGTGGAGAACCGTAAAATTTTAACCTTTTTCCACTGTAAGCGTATTCAAACCATATAAAGAAAGGCAAGAGGTAGGAATGCACCCATTTCTACCAACACCACCAATAACTCTAAATCTTTTCATCTACCAATGAGTAGAGATAATAATGGTTCATGAGTTGCAGCCTTTCAGTTGAATTAAGATAGCCAAAACCCTAAAGATCGAACCTTCTGCCACAACAGACGTGTTCAAAACCATACAAAGAAGCGAGAGAAACATGAATTCATCCATTTATGGCAACACCATCAGCAACTCTAAATCTCTTCATCTACCCAAGGCTAAGAGTAGAGAGAGCAAAGGTACATGAGTTGCAGATATAACAATAATGAATTAGAAAACAATTGAAAGTGTTGTGCTCTTCCATAAACCAAATCTCCTTAACTCATGCAGACATACCCGGTCGAGAAAGAGATTTTTGCCTGCTGGAGTTTTCAGTAGCGCCAGTTGGAGCTCTACCTTCAGAATTGTGGGGGAAAAGATAAATAGCCAACGATCAATTTTTCATGTTAAGGTTTCACAATCATTACCTAACAACTAAATGAAAGTAGCCACTCAAAGATAAAGCCTTTCAAGCAAAACTAATTCTATGTCATAACATAGAGCACAATAGGGCTCCTTAGAAGAACCCCATAGGACATATTCTCCGAGAGACTAATTCGACAACATCACATTTACTTACCAGTCCTACATATCAAGCGACAATTCCTTCATTCCCAGTAGCAACATTTACTTACAAATTAGCCCCTAAAATTGAATTCATTCACATCTAACATCTTTGGCTAATGTTACTCATTAAGCTTGAGACAAAAGTTGAGATCTCCATATAAAAGTTGAGATCTTTACCTTGTGGATAAGCCCATTATCGTGATAGAACATGTGACTTTCATGAACAACTCGAACAAATCCTCCACTTCATTGACAGTAACTGCAAAAGAGGGGAAAACAAAGATAAAATCAAACAGATTGGAAAAGTAGAAAACTCATACAAAAATTATAAATCACAGGAGAAACCAAGAATCGAGGGAGATTGGAAAACACTACCAGGGGGAACAGCCCAACTTATGCTGATCAATCTCCTTTACCTACTGTAAGCGGCTTTATAGCGGAAAAGGAAAACGGGGGGGGGGGGGGGGGGGGGGGGGGGGGGGGGGGGGCTTAACCCTACATGAAAAGGCAGATGTTTCATCACGAATCCAGATGTGTGTGGAGAAAGTGAATATGATATACAGGATTTACCTGTTGATTATCGAAACCCACAGTTGGCAACCCCGCATCCAAGGAAAGTGATCCCTGACGAAGAAAACTATCAATGTCAGAGAGGAAAATGTACAAATTGGGAACTGAATAACAGTGAGAGTACAAAGTGAACCTGGGAGTGAGAGCAGAATTAAGAACAAACATTGAAGACCAATATCTCACCTCATAACAATGGGATTTGCAAATTTGGTTCCCCTCTGTCATGAATCTAGTCGTATGCTCTGTCGGAAGAGAAACTCATATCATTTTATAAAAAAGTAAACTTTAACTGAATGACTTCAGTTTCTGCAACAGAAGATATTAAGTACCATTTTTTCATATGTCGAGGTGATGAAAATGTGAAGCAAAATATCGATTCATGCTTAAGAACATCATGAAAAAATAATTGTTAACTGATCCAGGAAATTGTAAAGACTTCTTGGTAGAACCAAAAGGAACCTGAACAATGTCGGAATCAGATAAATTCTTCAGAGCCATCAAGTACTTGGTTTCTCCAAGGCGGTCCAAGTACCACTTGCAGAAGGCTAATGTCGAGAAGTTTTAGCTATAGTTGCTAGCAGCTGATTTGCTCTCGCCATCCTCAATGGCACATGTACAATATTAAAGTTTTTCATGTAATGACTGCACTCTATATCTTCTCTGACATATCCTTTCCCTACATCAAAAAGTGATTTTAGTCATTGCATCATCTTGGTGACTAATGCTTCCAATACCAATGCAGAAGAAGTGGCTAATACCTGTTGAGCCGAATGTTTCAGTTGCGTAAAATTCAACCTCTTCCATTTTAGTCATCTCCCCTCCTTTTACAATAGGAATAGACTTTCCAACATGAATTTGATATCGCCTGATGTTGTGCCCATTCAAGTTTCTGATGCTTTTAACTGCAAATGACATAATAAACCCATGTAAAAAATATCAACACGTAATGAGTTTCAATATACATGAGTTTTGAAAAGACTTTTTAGAGGTCCTAAACTTTTAACTAAAAAAATATAAACATGAAGGGCATAAGTAGAAAGGACCAGATCACTACATTTGGAGGAGCATAGTAAAAGACAAAGCTTTGTGATTTAAGGGACAGTCCCAACGATTTCTAAGTGTTAAATCATGACCACAATAACCAATGTTTATAAGTAGTAGCCATCTAGAGTTCCGAAAGGTAAAGTTGTATGGTGCCAAACTGCTAGCTTAAAATGAAATAACCATGATTTCATCTTGATGCTAAATTTAGGTTCTATCTCATAGCAGTTAGAAGTCACCTAGATTGGCACCCACCAAAACAAAAATGGGAGTGCATCAAGGGAAAACAAATTCTTTTATTTTTTCTTCTTTGCAGCATCTGAAAGCAAGAGTTGCAGAATGCAAATGAGTCATGGTACAGAATAAAAAAATCAAGGCAACAACAACATCCTACTAAGAGATGCCAAAGGGCATATGAATTTGGGAGTGGTATCCTTCAATGAGCACTAACAACATTTAAAATTGAACAATGGAAAATGCATCCCGAACCAATGCAAGATAATGACATGAGTAAGCTTCAAGAAAGAGCCCAGATTGAGCAAACGTAATTAACGTGGGAAACTCTAGAGCAAGCATCAAGATTGATAAAGAAAAGGAATGCTCTCGATTAATAAAACATTAAGGGAGAATAACCTTTCTTCTCGTGCTCATCCTTCTGTGCGGCATATGACTCGTCATCGCCATTGCTAACTGAAGGCTCTAAACTCCCATTTTCTTGGTACCATTCTCTTCAATAGAGAGTTCTTTAATCATCTGTTCATCCGTCATTCTTACTGACCTATTGCACACAAACAGGGAATTAAAAAAACCTTGACATGCTCCATCACATCGTAACAGAATTAGTGAATTACGACTGGACATTCAAGCCTAAAAACCTAGAAAAATCAGGGCTCCAAAATCGGTACTCTTGATTACTGTTTGGTGTTGATGAAAGAAAGGAAATTGTACCGGAATCAATTGGCGGCTGCAGAAAAGCAATCGGCGAGGGCACCTGAAATGAAATAAAAGCAAAGAACAACAAGTTTTTTGTAAGGATGGCCACTGCTATGTCATTACGGTGGACTTGAACCAAAGGAATGGAACGGAGAATGAATACGACGGTGGAAGCTCGACGATTTTGGAGGCAGCTTGAGGCGATTACGGTCCCCTTTCAAGACAAATACGGAGAGTTCGGTTACCTTCATAACTGCAGTTCAATGAATCGACACCATGGGGTGACAGCTCGCGCTCGGATGGTGTCTAATTTCGACAGCGAAGAAGCTGGACGGAGAGAGCGCGCTTACTGATTTCGGCGGTGAAGACACTGAACGGGGAGAGCGCTGCTCCGACTGACCACACAAAATAATGCGAACGGATTTCGACGGTGAAGACGCTGGCCAGAGACAGCGCGCTGGCTGTATTCGACGGTGACGACAATGAACGGAGCGAGCGCTGATCGGACTGACGAAACAAAAAAATCGCCATACCCGTTTAACGTCGCAATATGAACCGATGTATTTTTCCCGTGTCCGAAAATACCCCTCCGAGAAACGCGATGCAATCAAAATTTGAATATGTCTGGCAATTTTTCCCGTGTCCAAAAATTGCCAGACATATTCAAATGCGATTCATATTGCCAGACCAAACGCGATGCAAATCGCCAAACTCAGATGCAATCAAAATTGCCAGAAGTACCAAACTCTCCAAATCAGCTGTACCAGAATCTCCCCTGCCTCCAGATGCCCCTAAGGGTGGTCAACAAATCAAACCATTCAGCAAGTCCAATCCATATTGAGACTTGCCATTCAGAACCAACTTGCTGCACTTATCACCAACAGAACATGTCAAAACAGAACCTTGTAGATTATACAAGGCACCACGCTTGACACCTTTCAAAATCACCTTAGAACCCTTGTAGACAGACATCACTCCACCTTCACCTTTGAAACTGAAACCCTTGCTGTCTAGTAGACTCAAAGATATCAGATTCTTAGTAATCTCTGGAACATGTCTAACATTGTTCAAGGTGCGAACAGAACCATCGTGTGTCCTCATCCTGACGGAGCCTCTTCCAACAATCTTACAGATAACACCATTGGCCATAGAAACATGTCCTCCATCTATCTGCTCATAAGTTGAAAACCACTCCCTGCTTGGACACATATGATAATCAGCTGCAGATAGGGGTGGGATTCGGTCGGTAAACAATTTACCGTTTACCGAATTTACCGGTTTCGGTATACCGAAGTTGGCCAAACTGGTTACCGATTACCGATACCGATTTGTAACCGGTTTACCGATTACCGAATTACCGGTAAACGGTTACAAACCGGTATTACCGAAATACCGTGAGAAGCGATTTTGGGCAGTTTTTCTGTCGGTTTACCGAATATTTACCGAACCGAATTTCTGGAAGTGGGGTGATGTTGTAATATTTTGATTTTTTTGAGTTTTTTTCATCATTTTTATAATTAATAATTTATTATCAACTCTTATTTACAATATTTTTGAGGCCTATACTTACATTCATGTATGTAATATTATATATTTTTGGGGGTAAAGCAACAAAACGCAGCGCAACACTAGGGAGTAGGGAGGGGGGATTCGGTATCGGTAATACCGATTTACCGTCGGTATTTACCGATACCGTGTCCGGTAAACCGACTCCTCCAACTTCCCTCTCGGCTACCGATACCGCCGGTAAACGGTTTACCGTTTACCGTTGATTACCGGTTCGGTAAAACGGTAAACCGTTTACCGGATTACCGTTTACCACCCCTAGCTGCAGTATCCAAATACCACACATCCTGATGATGTACCTGTTCATTCACTACTAAGGCTAAACCATCTTCAGAATCAGAGTTAGTTTCTTCCGCTACAGCAGCAGATGATTCCTTCTTCTCCTGATATTTCTTCAGTTTATGACAATCAAATTTTCAATGTCCTTTCTCCTTGCAGTAATGACAGATATCATCCTTCAAACCAGTAGAATTCGAATTTGTATTCGCCTTCCTATTACCAGATTGTTGTCTCCTACTACTCGTACCAGTCAACCCAGATGCCTGATTTTCCGAACCTGAACCAGATGCCTTATGTCGAACCTCTCTAGTGTGTAGAGCATATCTGACATCTTCCAAAGACAAACTATCTTTCCCAACAATAAAAGAATCCACAAAATTCTCATATGACAGTGGCAAAGATACTAACAAAATTAAGGCAGCATCCTCATCATCTATTTTAACATCAATATTTCGCAGATCTAGCAAGATGTATTGAGTGGATCTAGATGATTCCTGAGAGACGTACCTTCCTCCATACGCAAACTGAACAAACGTTGCTTCATATGCAACTTGTTGGTTAAAGACTTTGTCATGTATAGATTTTCAAGATTCAACCACAAACCCACAACAGTCTTCTCAGCAGCAACCTCAGTGATGATGTCATCAGCTAAATAAAGCAAGATTGTAGAGTGAGCTTTCTCCTCCAAAGTAATCCACTCTTTTTCATCTATATTTTCCTTCTTCGATTTTCCAGACAATGGAGCCCACAAACCTTGTTGTTTCAACAGCGCTTGCATCTTGATCTGCCACAAACTGAAACTGTTTCTTCCGGTAAACTTCTAAATCTTCATACTGATAGCAGCCATTCTTACTATCAAACAAATTCCAACCAAACTCCACAAAGCAAAACTTCAGTCCAGCGCCAAATTCCCAAAACCGCAACCAAAGGCTCTGATACCACTTGTCAGAATAGAAGCGTGCAATCGATAATCCAAACCAGTACGAACGAACACAAATTTAACGTGGTTCACTAACACAATGTGTGCTAGCTAATCTACGAGCAGGGGGGACAAATTTCACTAATTTGAGGAGAGTACAAGTTACAAACCAAATTCCAAACGGATAAACCAAACAAACAAACCTGACTGACCTTACTACAGACTAGGGTGATGAAGAGTATTTATAGAACTCTTCTCCTAATCCAAACAGAAAACCAAACACCTTTTCCCAAACATACAAGGAAAAGACCAAAATAAAGTCCAAACACAAACCCAAACAAAATAGGCCCAAAACAAACCCAAGTCATATTCTATCACAAGCCATTGCGGACGGTTAAGGTTACGATCTACCACCGTTGAGGTTACTAACCGCACCGGAGCCACCGCCCAGGTATATCGATGGCCGGTAACGTCGAGAAAATGGTGGCCGTCGGCATAGTCTGGGGCGCCACCGATGCCCTGATCCGCCGCGGGGCTCTACTCTACGACAAGAGATCTCTCGGATCTCCCCCTCCCGATGCCGCCGCACCGAAATCGACAGCGATCCACTAGAAGCTCGTCTCCTCGCTCGGAACCGCAATTAGCCTTCTGCTGTTCTGGCAGTACTCGATCCCTTTCTTGATCAACCTCTCGGCGTCCGCCACCTTCTTCGCTCTCTTGAGCGACGCCCCAATTTCGCTCGCCGTCCCTGTCACCAACGCCACGACTTTCGCTGCCACGGCCGGTATGATGCTAGGGGAAGAAACTCGAATTGGGTTCGCTTTGATCGGTACGGGTTTCATTGCGATTGGAGTTTGGCTTTGTATCGCCTAATTTTTGTAGTAGAAGGTCAGGTTGATGTTGATGATGCGAATTTCTGGACATACTCTCTGGAATTCGACCCATTTCTGGTCTCAGTATTGAGTTTCTTATTGGGATTGAATGAACTTGTCACTGTGGTTCATTTGGTTTATTAGATCCTATTTACTCCTGCTCGGTTGAATGTGAGAACTTAGTCTCGATTACATTCGACATTTCGAATGAGGTATTGAAAGGGGCAGTTGAATTGCAACTTTCTTTCAGTTGCAGAAGTATAAAATGTTACATCTTTGAACTCAGAGGGAGAAAGCAGCAAGACTCAGGTTGACACAGAGGAAAAATAATGAAAGCAATTTGATATGGAATCCCAAAAGACATGAAAGCAAAAATGTATTTGTTCCGTTGGAACGTGGTTGATCGTGTTAGAAATGGAAGGTCAGAACTGTGGTTTGAAGCATTCAGGTGGCATATTGCCGTTGAATCTCTTGAAATCGTTGCAGTAGTTGTAGATCATGTGATTATCTCTCACCCACTTCATCTGGCCTTGCTTGGCAGAGCTCAGCTGTTTGTATGCAGGAGATGTCCACCAGTTAGCAGGGCTACTGACAGCACACTGGGTGATGCTGGGAGGTCCATTCCACTTGCAAGCCCTAGCTCTGAAATTGCGGTACCTGGCTATGAAGGGAGCTGAGTTCCAGTCGATCTTCTCCAAGCCTCCTCTGGTTGCCCAGTTATCAGCATTCCAGAGACTAGAGTAAACCCTCATCCCTTGTTTGTTTGGGAAAGGAACCCCCTGGCTCTCGTAGTTGCGGTAAACTCTGATTGGCACACTGTCAACATACCACCTGCATAATTGCATAGATAATACGGTGGTCAGGACACAATTGATCATATTATATATCAGACTTAATAGGATAGGCTGATCGATCGTTTGTAAACTATCCGAATAACTTACACAATAGTGGTAGGGTTCCAGTGAATGGTGTAGTTGTGGTAGTCAGCAGTTGGATCAAACCAAGGGTAGAACTGCTGTTCCCTGCTTCCATTTCCTTGTACGTAGACGTTAGTGTGGATGATGTAGGGGTTCCCAGACACATTTCCGAGGAACTCAAAGTCGATCTCGTCGTGTCTATCCCCAGTGGAAGATACCTGTGGTACGTAATTGATTAGATAAGAATGAATATGACAACAGACAACTAGCTTGGTTAATATTTTACTTTCTCAGCATTTTAACTTACGTAATAAGCAGTAACTGTTCCTGCAGAGTTCCCAGGCACCAACTTGATCAACATCTCAATGCTGCCAAACAAGAATGCCCGTTTCGACTGAATTGCAGAGCCTGAGGATTAAAAAATGATTGGTAATCAAGTGAGCCGCTATATATCTAAGGCGATCAACTCTATTCGGAGCCTGAAGATTTGAGATTTATGCAAACAAGTTACCTGATGTTTTATCCAATACCAGCTGGAGTTCCTCACCGTTTCCTGATACTGAGGCATGGTGAGCGCCCCAAGTGAAGTAGGTGCTTTTGGAGAACTTAGCATCAACCGAGGTTGGATGGAATGCTACTATTGCAAGCACAGACAGAGCTACAAGTAGAGGGTGACTAAAACTTGCCATTTTCAACTCCAGAAGCCACAAGGTTTCTGCTAGCTCCTGTTTTTCTCAGTTGAAATAATAATGGGGTTGGATCGATGCTTTTCCTCGACTATTTTGGATGGCTTTTATAGGATCTTATCAATGAGGTTTTCTACTTTTAATATTCTAGCTTCAGAGAACACATTGACCATGTCTTTCCTCCTTAACTTGACATTCATGATTTGTTAAACTTATGTTCCAGAGGTTGGTGAATGAGAGATGTCTTGTTGCAATGTTCCCAACTGTGGACATGGAAACATGTATAGAATGATAGATGGAGGGAGACAGAGGGTAGGTAAATGGGGTTTTAGCCAGCCAAGCTTGGACGCGGTTGGATTGGATTGGAGGGAGAGAGCCTGATATCGTGCATCAGACTAAAATAATTGTCGCCGGCCGGCAGCTGCGTGAGGCTGTGAGCTCCATGACGTGCACAGCTACGGGGTTTGGGAAAAATTGCAAACAGCTACCTCTTCTCTTTTGGCGCCAAAAATCAAGTCCCTGTGCTTTCTCAGTTACGTTGTCGTCGTTGCTGGAGGTTGTATTGACCTATAGCTCAGGAGACATCAGTTTGGATTGCTTTTAGTAGAACTAAACCAAGGATCAAAGTATATAGCCCGGGAGGACGCATTGAAGGACACGTGACACCCTCGTTGCAATTAGGGATGGTAAAAATATCCTCGATACCTGCCCGAAACCGACCTAATCGGGTAGGGTAAAATTCAAACTCGAAAGATTTTTAGTGGGTACAGGTAAAACCCGAACCCGAATATTGTGTGTAATAGGTGGGCATGGTTTTCTCACTATCCAACCTGAACCCGCCTGATTATACATATGCATATGTATTTTTTTTTCTAGAAATAGTCATTATTTTTCTCCAACTTATTTTATATTTGGCATATAAATATAATATTTTATGAAATTGTGTTATTTTAATTAATTTTCTTTATTCTAATAAATTATTTTCGTACTTTTCCTCTTATGTAAGGTGAGAATACATGTGAATGTTAACATATTGGTTGGATTTATGAATAGAAATTATTGCACATGGATAACCATGGATACCTGAAATCCGAACGAGTATGGGCATGGTTGTAATTTTCTACCCATTTCTTATGTGGGTATGGGTAAAACTCTAACTACTTTGGGTAGGGTAACGGATATGCACTATCCGCCCCCGACCCGACCCATTGCCATCCCTAGTTGCAATGCCCAGACGCCAAACTACAAGGCGCCAGGCCTGTATATAGCTCTGGAGAGGCATCCCGGGTTAGATAAGGTCCTTAAGGCCTCTTTCTTAAGGAAGATCTTAAACCCCTTTCAACCAATAGGAGAAGGAGAGAGAAAATGATTAGCAATCATTGGGTAAGTACCTACCTAATACGTTAAAGGGTAAGCCAGGAATATAAAAAATATTTAATGATATTATTAATTAAAATGAAAATGGCGAAAACCCACACAATTGAATTAATTGGGGTTTCGAGAATCAGTCTCCTCCCAACCATTAAATCGTTCATCCTTCAAAAATCGTCGTCGTGCCGCCAAGCCGACGAGGCTCTTGCTTTCCGGCATATGGTCCCACTGAACTGCCATTGCATTACCGTCCACCGTCACGCCTCGTCTATCCCGTGACGCCTCGTTTGTCATCGTCGCACAACCATTTCCTTTCATAAGCGTCGGCAACCGTCATCAGTCTTCTGCTTCGCCGGCGTCAATTTTCTGTCAGCTTCCTCGTCCCATTCCTGCCATCATCCTGCCTGACTCCGCCACCGTCCCGCCGCCATCCGCCATCTCCCCATCCGGTTGTCGCCCCATCTTGCCGGTCTCCCGCTGTCGAGGCGGAGTTTGTTAATAATATTATTGTTTATGTTGAAAAACGAAGAGAATTTGTTAATAAATGAATTCGCCATTTGTTGTAAATTATGTAAGAAATGTTAATAATGATATTGTATATTGTTAATATTACTGAGCTGAAAAGTTGATAATAGCGTCACTAAAAATGTTTACAACACAACAAGTAAATCAAGCTTCAATTTGATTGAGAATGTTAATAATAGCGTCACTAGAAAAATGTTAATAATGTAGGTGAAAACATTAATATGTACTGTTAAAATGTTGACAGCTCAGTTAAGCTGCTTTAAAAACCTCAAATCAGAAGCTCATCTTACTGTGGCAGCATTTTAGTAACTGGTTAATAATTCCGATGATCTTATTAATAATAATGATATGGTAGGTTAATAATATTTGCAACACGATCGATCAATTGCGTTTCAATTTGATTGAGAAGGTTAATAATAGCATCACGGAAAAATGTTGATAAAGTATGTGAAAAAACTAATGTGTGTTGTTGACAACGTTGACACCTCCGTTACGTTGCTCTAAAAATCTCAAATCAGAGGCTCCCCTTATTGTCACAGTATTTTAGTTACCAGTTAATAATTTCAGTAATATAATTAATAATAGAGCCGCAGAGGTTAATACTGTGAACAATACGACCATTAAATCGCATTTTTTATTGATAATTCTAGTAGTGTCAGTAAAAAATGTTAATGACGTATGCCAAATCATTAATATGTACAGTTGAAAATGTTGACAAATCCATTACATTGCTTTGAAAACCTCAATCCACCAGCTGCTCAATCCACATGCTCCTCCATTACGTTGACAACTCCGTCGCGTTTCTCTTTGATGGCAAGCGACGGACGTAGAGGGTCGACAACAAGTTTGTTCTTACAGATCTTGGATTGTGGTATATCATGTAGCACTACAAAAATATTGATAATTACATTCAAAATATTACTAATGTTGAAAAAACGTTAATAATGAACACATATTGTTAATGAGCACTTCTACTATGCTATATAGCATTGGTGTTTTAATGTACAACTCAAAGTTGTACCATAACATTAAGTGTATAAGTTTAGGTTGTACCATAAAGCAATTTGTACCATTATGTTATGGTACAACTTTACAACTTGAAGTTGTACCATCACATAAATGTACAAGTTCAAGTTGTACCATAAAAGAATTTGTACAAAAAGTATAGGTACAATCTAAAGTTGTACCATAACGTAAATGTACAATTTTTTTTCGGTAAGTAAATGTACAATTTTAAGTTGTACCATAAAGGCAAAAACCTATAGCACCAATACTATATAGCATTGTAAAATTTCTCATTGTTAATACTACTAGTTGATTCAATCGACAGATTAATACTAGAAAAAATGAACATGACTGTGAAAATATTACTAATGGGCGAAGAAACGTTAATAATAAATTAAGGTTGATAATATTACACGTAAATTCTACAGACAGATTAAAAATAGCACACTCTTAATGATAAGACGAGTTATTATCAAATCATGCACGATTGATGATAGCACTTCAAAATATTACAAATCACTATGAACTAATTTTTTTATTTGATAAACTATATTAGTGAATTAATACCGATTACAAACAACTTGATAAAACAATTAAAAAACGACAATAAAAAATTTAATAACACAACATAACATAATTAACAAGCCTATCAGACAACATTGAAAATA